GAGGTGGAGCCAGTCTCAGGGAAGGACCTACGGGTGGCTTGGCAAATGGGACACCCAGGAAGGCGTGGACTCCGGTCTCTTTGCCCTTTACACTCACATACTCACCTCTCAGGCTCCCGAGCTTTGTGTGAACTTCAGGTGCTGTCAGAATGTCATAAAGTATCCCATCACAATTTACAGCAAAAAAAAACACAATAACAGTTTATGAATTTTTCAGTGGAAAACACCTAAAACAGAATTTGTCCAAGTATGCAACATCTGGTTTTAAGTTGTGTCTTGTGTTTATACAGTCACAGGTGTGTGCAGCTGACAAGTGCACCAGTGTTAGGATGAAACTTTCCACTTGAGTCATATCTGGTGTTGAAAGAAGTTTTCAGATCGTTTACTTGAGTAACAGTAAAGCAATGATAAAATACTCAAGTGCAAGTCCTGCATGAGAAATCTTACTTCAAAGTGTTGTTAAATCAATTAAGCGAAAGTGCTACTTTGGCACTTCTGACTGATATATACTTAGAAGTGACATTACCATAAACAGGGACACCAAATGTATCCGAGGGGCCATTAGATGATTAGTGTGAGAAAATTTTGAAAGATCTGTTTTCAGACTTTGGATTTTTCTCTAATCTTTGATTCTCAGTGAGATATTGGATCATTTGAAGACTCTTTAATATGAAACCATGTGAGAAGCTCAAAGGGAAAAATCATTATTTGGTGAAGCTTTTAACAACTTGGAGACATCTGAAATGTGACCCTGAAAACACACTACAATTTAGATCGAAATAAGATATCTGAAGTCACAAAGGTGAGTAAACCACTGGTTTTATCTTTCACAAAGTGTATCAAAAGAGATTAGGATTGGACTTTATCGTCATTGCTCCAAGTACAACAAAAGTCAGTCTTTGCATATCCCAGCTCGTTAATAATAATATGCTGGGCCTTGCTCAAGGACCCAACATATTATTATTAGAGACTTTATCGCTGAGCCAAGACTACCAGGATGAGTTTGATATAAATCACCCTCTGAAATGTAGTGAAATAAAAGTACAAAGCTGCATAAAATAGAAATACTCGAGTAAAGTACCTTTACAGTTACATACGGTATTCAGTTACCTTTCACCACCGCTGACATCCAGTCATGTGAAAGAAAACGACTGAATGATTGCCACAACTGAATATATGTGAGCAACGAGTTGTAAAATCAGCACTCCGTTATTGGTGATCAACGGAAAATTAATTAACCATTATATCAAAAGATGAATCACGTAAGTAATTATTAAAGATAACTGCCAGACTTGTTCTATTTCAGTCTTCTCAAGCTCGAGGACTTAGCGAGTTTCTCTGCTCTTTTACTTAAAAATCTAATCTTTAGCTGTTGTGACTGCTGATTGGACAAAACAAGTAATAAAAAATAGATGTCCCCTTGGGCTCTGTTGCAGTATAAAGTCTAGAATTATGAATTCTGAAAGTCTAAACTGAATGCATGATTCATAAAAAAAGTCATCGGTGAATCAAGTTTGGAGTGAAAAACACACCTATTCACTCATTCAGATTGAGTTTGTGCTCTACAGAGAGACACAAATCACTGCAGCAATAGACTGAATGAATGCAACACAAATTAGTGTTGTGACATATTATGTTGAAATAAATGGTACAAATAATTCATCTACAATTAACCTGATGCATATGAGAGTTAAACCATGTACAGTACAGATATGAGTCTCTGTAATCTTTCACCTTTTACACACAGTGAGCTTGGAGGTAAGAGGTGATCTTGAGTCAACTGAAAAACTGAGGGCAGGTAACATCCGGGTAACAAGTCATTCATTTCTATTTGAGGTGCGCTGTTTTAAAATAAATAAATAAATATGGAGCTGGATAAATAGTGCATCTGATGTGTGCTGAGAGAGAGAGTTAGGAATTAAGTTTACTTACCCTGCAGGTCCGCAGTAACAGCGAGGATTAACACGGAGATCAGAAAGCAGGAAGTTTGCGGTGCGCGGAGCTCCATGGTTGGCCGCAGTGTGGACGCCGCAAACACTGGATCGCCTCTTATTAAGTGCTTCCTGGTTACTTTGACCGTGACAGAGCTGCACATAAAAGGCGATGGCATGGGAGTTGTGACGTGACTCCGCAGCTTTTTGCACCACTGCAACAGCTGATCAAATACAAGGTGGTTTGTTTCTGCCCCCTATCTACCACGTGGTTCACTTGTTCCTCAGATCAGGAGCAAAAAAAAATTACAAAAAATACTCCAGCGTTGGTCAACACTTGACATCCTGTGACGACATCTGTGTATCTGCTGGCCTCATGACAGGTCTGGTAGTTTATGCACCCAGCCTGGCCTGAAAACACTTCTGCTTAGACACACCCAGGAGGTTATAAGTCTTTCCCTTTGACCTGCAAAACCCATATCTGAACCATTGCACCGAGAGCAAAGACAGTGAGTCAAACACTGCACTTAGGAACTCCAATCTGTCATTTTACTTTATTAATATTTCACAATAGTAAATGTCTTGGGGGGGGATATTTTGAATATAGTTTACTTGTATTACATTAGATTGCTATTTAATGTGATCCAGAAAATACAGTCGTCCTCAAA